TTGTACATTTGCTGTTGTGTCAAACTTATATTAAAGTTTTTCTTCATTACCCATTCAAACCGTCTCCAACCATTATTAGTCTCAAAGTGGGTTCCTCGTCATCGAATTCGAAACTGTGGGAGAAGTTTCCATACAAACACACACACATACAACGTGAATTAATATAGGACTTAAATATAAAAAGACTACATGTCCAACCTCAAAAATGCCTTTATACAGCCTCAAGTTACCAGTGACTTGAAACAAAATTCTAAAAAGTTCCCCTAAATTTCATTGGAAATTCAGAAGTTGATACCACAAAAATAATAATGTTATCCAATATCAGAGTGCACAAGTCCAATCAATTTAAAAGGCCATTTCCTCGGAAAGTATACACATGTCAAAGTTGTAGATAACATTCAAGAACCTCATTGAGAAGATTGTTATAGAATTTACAACACTTTTGCAGTAGAGAGAAGAAAAAGAAACATAATGCTAATAATCCTTGTAAAAAAAAAAAACTGTTTAAATTCATCCTGTACTAATAATGTTAATTACTGGATATGTTTTGCATTAAAATTATTAAGTTGTCGCAATTACAAGCATCATAACAGTCAAGTTAACTCACTATCATGGACAACCAGAGCAAGGAAACTGATAAACTACAAGGAGGATTCCAGAGAGACTTCAATTTTACATATAAATGTATGTAAAGGTAAAATATCTTTCCAGTATTTCACGAAATGCTACAGTAACAGAAATAAAAGAAAAAAACCACATGGCTGTATTTTTCTACAAACAGTGGGAAATCATATAATGGTTATGGTAAAAACTAAAAAAAAAAGGATTGTTACCATAATTTTTTGAATCACACATCAAAACCAATATTTTAAACTGAAATAAGAGAATTAGTGGTATAGAATATCTGCATCATGATTTATTAATGTTGTACTTTAAACAATAAATACAAACTATAGTGCAGCCACCATACGAATAATTGCAAAAGTTGTAGCATGTGTTGGCTTGTTGAGATTTATTATATATATATTCTATAATACTGTACTTTTTTTCATCAGTTTTCTGTTACAATATTCAGAATCCTTATCTTCAATTTCTTGAAATGTTTATAACATAATCTTAAGCAGTTTATATTTTTCTTATGACTGAAATACTCTCCCCCTTCTGTTCCCATGCAATAAAATGGTGCTAAGTTGTAAATTCTGAAGCTAACAACTTAAAAAAAAAAAAAGAGTACCCACACATTAAAACTGCATTTCATCAGTTGATAACAATTAATTCTTTAATATCTGACTGTTCTGGCTTGCTAAAATATTTTGGTGTTTAACATAATTTTTGTGACAATGAAAAATTTTATTGAAAAAGAAATAGCAAGCTAAAAAACTTTACTAGCTTAGATTGTTTTTATTCTGTTGATAATCATTACCTTTCGCTTTACAAAACATAGATCAAACAGTGATATAATCTAGTTAGCTATGGTGCCTGGATTTTACCTACTGTCACCTAGCCTTTTTTGATTAATATATGGCTATACCTTACACATGATCCGATCATAGAGACATCCATTTTTCATGTAGGCATAGACCAAACAAGCAGATGGTCCATCACAGGAATAACCAAGGAGTGGAAGAAGATTAGAATGTCTATAGCTGGAAAACAAAACATTATGACAAATATTTCCAGAGTTATTTAAAAAGCACATATATAGCTTCCTTCAAACAATTTGAAAATATACCATATAAACTAAATCAGTATTGACAAACAAAACAAAATTTCACGAAATGCTACAGTAGTCCAATAAAAAAAAAAGTTACTAAATTAGACTGTTTTCTCTTTAAAGTTATTCTATTTCATTATTATAATTTTGATTTAGAGTAATGCATCTGTTACAATTATACATATATATGTTAATTATAAAACAAAAATGTATTTTTCTTTACTTTTTTATTCATACCTTTTCATAAGTACTGTTTTGCTCTCTTTCTGGACCCTGCTGTACTTTCTAATAAATTAACTCAGAAAAAAAATGTATTCACCTTCAAGAACCATTTGGTGTATAACATTATCACTTTGCTGCATTATCAAAATAAAACAATTTGTTAATATTCCAATATTCATTTTACAGTTATCAGTTTGGTGGTATTACATGTAACAAATGAATACAAGTTTCTTTTATATCCTTGACTCATACAGTAATCAAAATAAGCATTGATTAGCCACTAATCAAAAGTCAGATACCACAAACAGCAAGCTCAACTGCAGGGACTATATCCCACTTCAGTGGTTCTAACCTATGTTGCAATAACTATTATATTTCTCTAACGAATCTCACACTGGAGAAGTCTTAAGTATGATGTAATCCTCAATCTATGAATGAATGTACACATATGATATATAATACAAGTTTTTATTTATATCAACGGCAGACATAACAACATTAGCCAAATATTGAACTGACCCTGTTAAGTGCGGTATTGTGAAAAAGTAGTTAAGCCTGTGCTGTTTTTCATATTATTAACAGAGCAAAAACATGTGTAAACCTTTGTGTACCTGTTGTAGTTTATATTGAAAACAGAAAACTGTAAGTAGTTATACACTTTTTATATCAACAATAAACAACATTAAAGCATTAAATTTTAGAAATATGTAACTGAAAATCCCTGAGTATCTAAATATTTTTCCTTCATTCTTTTGAGCAAAATTAACTTCATGAGGCACATTTGCTAGAAGTTTCAAAATTAGGAATCATAAGTATTAATTTAGCATAACGGTCTTATAAACAGTTTTTCTACTTCAAAAAAATAAAATAAAAAGGCATGTGATTGGATTTGATTTTCATAACATTCTTCACTCATATTATCTTACTTAAATGTTATAAGGCAGTAGTTAAGCATAGCATCATTATGTTTAATACCGACTAGCACATATAACAAAGTGGTCCTTTCACCATTACTGCCATGAAATTTAAATAAATCACTACCAATGTATTTTTGAAGATTCACAGATATTTTTTCCCCGTCCCATTTCAAAAAAAATAAAGAAATTGTACTCCTGAGAGAAGTGAAAAAAAATAACACACCCATTGAACTAATCTACAAAGCAGATTAGAATGCATTCTACAGCATCAGTGACATAAAACAACTTAAAAGAATTGCAAGACAGGTAATATTTTGCCAAAAAGGACCAAAAATATATACATAAATGAAAGGATTCCCAAGACTAAATGGTAATAGCCAACAATACATGTACTAACAGTTAATTTCCCTAAATAAGTGAACCTTGTGCAATAAACACATCTAGATTAAATGGGATATCCTCCTCTCTGAAAAAACAAAACAAGAAACTACTGAAATAAGATGGGACTTTTAAGACGAGTAGCAACCATAAGGTTCATTAACCCTGAAGAAGGTGTTTAAAGAATAGATTGAAGGCTATGTAGAAATGTAAAGCACACTTAAAATTCAATAGACCTGAGATTATAAATACATATATACACATATATATATATATATATATATATA